ACAACAAGATAATATAAATAATATCATATAGTCCGTGTTGTTTAAAAGCATGAGGTATTACACGTGGCGTGTTTTTTTTATTGTGGTATCCCCGGTAGGCCTAATCCACATCGTAAGCGAAAACGCGCGAACGCCGATCCACTACAATAAAATGAATTAATATAGATTGGTATTGAGAACACTGTACTTCACTCGAATAGATACTTTAATTTAAAATGTAATAAAATAAAATAAATACCCAATGATTTATTGAATATATAGGTTTTAACTTTAAATGTTTAACTTTCACGGCATTCGCCCATTTCCAGCTTACTTGTGTTGAATTTAAGTGCGTTACACAGCCTCTGGAAAGAGACAAGAGTGGCGCGACAGGAGTTGGGGGAATTTGTATTTGTCCCATGGTATTATATAAGTTCAGGTAGTCAAAACGAGTAAAAATGTTTCGGGTTTCGTATATTAGAAACCGGATAAAAAATTGGGCAAAAAATTCGGGTTGGGGGCTTTGCGTTCAAAACCGGGTAAAATTGTTTGCAGGTTTCGCGTCCGAAACCGGGTACAATTTATTGCGGGCTGATGGTACTGGTGCAGAGGTGGGTTAAGTTGGGCGCGGCTTATGGGTTATGGGCTTTGCGTTCAAAACCGGGTAAAATTGTTTGCAGGTTTCGCGTCCAAAACCGGGTACAATTATTTGAGGGTAGGGCGTTTATGGTGTACAAAAGTGGGCCAAATCGCGCTCGGGTTATGGGTTTTGCGTTCAAAACCGGGTAAAATTGTTTACGGGTTTCGCGTCCGAAACCGGGTACAATTTATTGTTAGCGGGCTGATGGTACTGGTGCAGAGGTGGGTTAAGAGTTGGACGCTGCTTATGGGTTATGAGTTTTGCTTTCAAAACCGGGTAAAATTGTTTGCGGGTTTCGCGTCCGAAACCGGGTACAATTTATTGTTAGCGGCTTAGGGTATGGGGTGCACGCAGGCGGGCTAAGTTGCGCGCGGGTTATGGGTTTTGCTTTCAAAACCGGGTTCAATTGTTTGTGGATTTGGCGTCCGAAATCGGGTACAATTATTGGGTAAGAGAAAAGGGTATAAAAGTGGGTCAAAATTGGGTTTGGGATTTGAGAATGGGTACAATTTAAGGAGGGTTATCCGTTTTTACTCCCTGAATTTATAACGACCATGACGTGACGGGACTGGGAATAGTTAATAAAACGTATTGATATTATAATAACAGTAATTTTAAATTATTTAAAGAATGATAGCTGGATATTTCTTTAAATTCAACACTGTCCTAACTCCTAATACTATGTCTATAACTATGCCTATAAAAATAACTATAACTAGGTATATAATTACTATTATTATTATTATTTCTCTAATTTTATTAAACATTCACATGATTATACTCAAGTCCTATTTCTCTATGTCTTTTTCTATTAAACACCAACTACCAACAGTATCCTCTATTCATCGACATCCGTTCAAACCGACAACAAGACTCCTCACAATATATATATAATAGTAGTTCAAAGGTAGTGGACAGGTTCCTTAGCAAAACTAAATAGTGTAGTGCGTGGTGGGTATAAAGCGGGTAAGTGGGTTTATGTTTTGATGTGTATTGTGTATTTGTGTATAGTGTTACTGTGTGAAGTTTCTGGTAGTATAATGTATAAAATAAGTTGCTGTATAACAATATTGGTAATTTAAATCAAAACAAATTAATCACAGCATAATATGCAATTATGGATTAGAATAATAATAAATTATTAATTAAAATATCGGGTGGATTCGGTCCAAAGATGAACCTTGCAATTATGTAAGTAGTATTTTAAATTTTTAAATTTTTGACCCAATAATTAATAAAATACGTAAATAACGATTAAAAGATAAATGCAATAGAGTTTTGGCTCTATAATATTGTGTTATATTAATGTAATAATAAATAATCGGCAATGATATAAAAATATTATAATGTGAATAATTAGATTAGACAGCTATTTGAGCTGCTGCAGCGTATTAATTAAGTTGAAGTTATAGGTAATGAGAACGTTTTTAACACTAGGTACCTATATAATTTATATATTATAAAAATATTATATTATAGTTATAAAAAAATTACAAACACAACAACATATTTTAAATAATACAAAAAAAATTGCCGTCAAATGTCAGATAATAGTGTACGTGAGGCCAGCCGGCGATAGTCTGTTATGTGTTTGACAGGGAGCTGAAGACGTTAGGCACGACAAAATATGAAAATTAAATACAATAATAATTATTTTACTCATTACGAATAATGCGGACGATATGCACCGAGGACAATTTTCGTTCTCATCTAAAACCAAATCACCGAAAACCTCTGGTTGCTGTATTATCCGTCACTTTCACAGGTCACTCTCTAAGCCAGAGGTCGGCAATTAGTTTCTGGGGGGTCTGGCGGTTTTGAAAAAAAAAACTTTGAGTAAAATAGTTTTCGTGTCCATTTATTTCCCTTCGGTGGTCCCCCACGGCCAAACCAGTTACCGACCATTGCTCTAAGTGTTAGCTACTTTATCTAATAAGTGTAAATCTATATCACCTACCTACTTATATATTATTATATGCTACTACAAAAAAATACTAAACAAATATAATATTACAGTGGCGTAGACAGGAGTTTTTTTTTTTGGGGGGGATGATCAACTTTTATACTTTTACACATTAAATACGTAATAGCACAGCTGCAGATAGATAGCTGAAAAGTATTAATACCTACTTATAGTACGTTTTTAAATATTTAAAATACCATTTAAGAGTTTTTGAGAGACTATCATACACCATTTAAATAATTTTTTTATTTTCTTAACATTGTCCCCTCCCCTGGATACACCACTGAAATATTATATATATGTATTTACAAAATACAGAAAATTGTCTTATAACTTACTTGGTTTATATCCTGTTTATGGGTACCAAGTTTAATTTGGCTGAGTTTAAATAATTTCTTACTATCAAGTGGACTCATTAACTTTTCCATATTGTCCAATAGCTATGAAACATCGAGGTACATACAATACTATTTAGGATCCGTGTTCTGATAAATAATAGCTTTTGTTCATTTAAAATTGCATTCAATGATGTTGATGTGTGCACCTATATGTATATAAAACAGTGTAAAGGTTTAAATATTGAAAATAAAAAGAACTAATTTTCCACGAACTTAAAGAAAGTAAGGAAAGTTATAAATAATTTTGGAAAAATTAAACAAATTACAAATTAAAACGGCAATCGAAAAAATTTTATATTATTCGCATGAAAGTTAAAACTGTGACGTATGTAATTTAAATGTTTTTTTTTTAACGAAATTGAAATATAAACATTAATAAGAAATAAACAAATTGAATATTATGTTGGTTTCTTGTATCGGTTATATGGAAATTAATAACAGACATAATATTAGTATATGGCCAGCATAGTATTTTCTTTTACAATATAAATTATGAATAAATAATAATTATTTATAAACTTTTATTCACGATAAGAATTAATATTAATAGTAGGTATAATAGCCTTACATTATAGGCAGGGCTGGTGAGTATAGTGATAAACATTTTCATGAAAATTTTAAAATTTATCATATTAATTTCTTATCAAATATATCCTTCGATATTATATAGTTATAAGTTATAGTATATTAATTAACCTAAATAATTGTATTTAAAGATTTTAAACTGTATTACCATTTACAAATTTTTATATTATATACCATTAAACAAACATAATATAGGAAATCCAAAATACAAATAAATTTATCTCGGCAACAAATGTATATTTTTATCTATATTATTAAAAAAATTGTGATTTTACTTCTAGTATAAATGTTAGTTTTCCTACATTAATTGATTTTTTCATTTTTTGTAATTTATTGTTTGAGTTCTTTCCACAATTTACAAATATCCTTTCTTAGCGGACGCCTACATCATAATAGCTATCTGTATGCCTAATTTCAGTCCGATCCGTAAAATGGTTTCAGCTGTGCGTTGATATAGCTCAGTCAGTCACAGGCCCGCCCACAGATGAGTGGCTCACTAGGTGCAAAATACCCAAGGTTTATAGATTATACAGGTTGCCTCATAGTCATGTAAACAAAACGTTTCCCCCCGTACCGTTCCTCGTCTACTGACGTCATTGCCGGAACAATCGACTGCCGTAGTGCGGTACAATGTATCATTTACTTATTTTCAACAGTATAATAATTAATAAAATCATTTTTTACATACTTTCTTTTGATTTTGATAACTTAATTATTAAGGAATTATTCATTTGATTTACCAGCTGTTTAATTATATAATAAATAATAATTATCGAATATAATATATTTATTTTTAATACAGTGTAAAATCAGTAACTCGAAGCTCACGGCCCACTGGGGGAAAAAAGTCCGAATTATTAAAAATTTCGAGTTTTCAAAACCTTAATGTGTTATTATGTTACTTGAAGGGGAATTTTATTTGTTCGAGATCTCAAGAATTTCTAGTTATCAAGGTTCAAGTTACCTATTGAGAGTACACTGTATATCACAAATAGCTCCTACTATTTAACTAACAGCTATGTTCAGCATGCAATAGGTATATCATTTGGTAGTAAAATAATATGGTAAAAATACTTACAGAAGTTAGTAAAACTACAAAAAGTTCAAACATAATATGTCGTAGGTACCTATTTTGTATTTTTACATGATAAATAAAATTTAACAAAACTAAAATTTGATAAAAACAATTGATCTATTTTTTCTTTCAACAAATATTAATTTGAAGATAGAAAAATCAACTTTCTAAAAAATATTTTACACTTATCTTGCATAATACCAATTGTAATTGACCAATAAATAAAAATGTTGTGCAGGTACAATTAGAAAACTATCAATAAGTAAATAAAGATGACAACCAAGAAACCAATCTGCAAGTTGTGTACATACATTTTTAATATTCTTTCATATAAATACAAATATTACAATATAATATAATTCATAATATAATTTTTTTTTTTTTCATTATAAGATCCAATTGATTTGGAGTAAAAATTTCTGACAGATATGATTTTGCTTTCTTTTCAATAGCAAGAGTTTTATTTTGAGTGAGAGATTTAATTTGATTTGACATATTTTTTTGTGTTTGTGTTAGAACCGAATTTAAAGTTTTCAAACGTTTTTCAAGAATTTTTATGCCATGTCTAAGATTTTCATTAATATTTTTATAATTCAAAGAAGATTTTTTGAATGATAAAAGTTCTATTTTCAATTTTTCATTCTCATTTTTTAAATTTTGATGTTCTTTGAATAACTCATTGTACATTACTTCATAATTTGGATTAAAATGTTGGCTATTGTTAGCGAAATTGTTAGCTTCATCAAATATTACAGCAGATACCATTTGCTCTGTGTCAAGAGTAGTGGCAATTAACTGATCATGAGACTGAAATAAAAAGATTTAATAATTAATTTCCTACCTAGGTATATACATTTTTAAGTTTATGAAATAAAAAATATTTTTTATATTATTCATAAATACAAAACTGGCAAATTATTATTAAATTCAATGACTGTATAATATAAATACCTCTTTTATTGATTTTGCTTCGATTCTACTTCTGCGTTTTAAAGCACACTATGTTTCAGTAGATAAACAGGTGGGAAGGTTCAGTGTTGGTATAGAACCAGGTTTCAATCTTCTGACAATTTGTTTCCCATAAGTTCAGATTTTAAATCACGAACAAAGTCTTCTGATTTAAAATGTTTGGAACAAATGTAAGATTTACTGGGATTCCAGGAGTCTCCTCGTTTACACTTCAGAGTCCATATTTTCTGGACATCAGGATCTTTTGGAAATCTAAAAATTACAGTCTAATTAATTAAAAAAATAATACAAAACAAATTAATGTGATAATTGATATCATCGGAATATAATGGTATGCATATCATTCTATCATAAAAAAGCCTAAATAGTTGTGTGTACCAACTGGCTACTGAGTAGGTCTTGTGAATTATAAAAATAAGTAATTTTAATTAATTACAAAATATAAAACGTTAATAACGTAATAATACCATTATTATGTAGTTTAAGCATTATTGATAAAATAAAACTTAATAAATACCTGTGAAACGAAATATCAGTCATTCCAATTTTTTTTGTTTTGCCAGAATACAAATCACACGTCGCAATAGCACAATTAGAACCACCACTTCTGGAACTCATGATTATTGTAATTATACTACTTTAAATTATAAAATTAATATAATTATTAATTAATCGCCAATTACGTCTAAATTATAGAAAGTTCAAATTAAGCATAACGTTAACGCATAAACCATGTGTTTTGCGGTGTGTGCCGGTGTTCGTGTTCCGGCAGTGACGTCATGAGCGTTATTCCCCCCACTCTCATTTTTTCGTAAATTCAAAATTGAGGCAACCTGTATAATCTATAAACCTTGGTTTTGCTTCACATAATTCATAATACTTATTCTGATAGGGCATCTCTATATACTATATGGTATATGGTATATAATAAGTGTTAACACTATATTAGTTCAAAAATACTGTATACTTATATAACTTACGTATGTTATGTGGTCGTTATATTTGGTAATGTTTAAGGTAAAGGTTCATCTGTCACGGCCGGCCTGGTTGTAATGTAAGTAATTTGTCATGCAGTCGAATCGTATTTCTTAAAAATATTTCTTCTCACGTTTCTCGTGGAACTGTCACGTCGCTCCTTATCCCCTCAGTTTCACCGTCACTTCTTGTCAGTTCCTCCTTCGACTATCTCCGGTTCCGACACCAACTCTGGTATATATATATGCACCTCGATCTCCGCAGCCTGCCTTTCTCGTCCGGTTCGCCCTGCCGATTCCCCATAACGCCACTGCAAAACGAATCCCGTCGCCGGGCGGGCCGGTTTCCCGGACGCGGGCAGCATTTCCGTTACATATGCTTTCGGTGGTCCTTCAGCGGCGGCTAATTTCCAAACGTGTCCTGCTCCTCCCTATCCTTCTTCCGCGTTTGCGGCTGCTGCGTGTGTCGCCGCTGCATGCCATATCTTATATTTTTCTCCACCATCGAGCCATCCTCTTGCTCCGCCGTCTGATTCGCTTTCGGCCGCATATGTTGTAGTGCACCGCCCCAAGCCGTCGTCCAGACGCAACGAGAACGTGACCGGGTCACCGCAAAGGCCGACCACGTCCTCCGGCATCCCGGTCCGACAGCTCGCCGATGGTCCTCTCGTCGTCCTCAGTTCTGCAGTATGTCTCGTTATAGGCGCCACTTCAATTGGGCGCCTCTCCATAGTTCCGCGGAATGGACATTATAACCATCGTTTCTCCTTAAGTTTGTCCGGTCTTTCTTTGGTCGTGTAAATAAGTGATTTTAAAAACTATTGTTTAAATAAATAAATCTCGTTACTACGGTCCAAGATAATATTATTTATAATACTATGCCATTGTTTAATATAATATTATTTCGTATTTAGTAGTTATTAATTCAATTACAGCCAGATGCATATTATATTAGCTGTGTATTTATACGATATTTGTTATACCTACCTTATAAGTTATAAGTTATAATTAACAATGGATATATAACGAACAATGGATATATATTTTATGGACATAAGCTCAACTAAGAAGGCTAGAGTAGTGAAGTGGCTATGCCCCCCCCTCGAAAATTACCCAAAGCCTCTCTCCAAAATAAAGGAGACTACAAAACTATTTCAATTTCCAAGTTAACCTCCAGGCGTTTGAGTAACGAAGCGTTCCCGGAAATTACCCGCATTTGCAGTTTTCTGCCATTTGCAGTTTATTTGAAACTAATAATACCTACCTATAATATCTCCAAACATAAAGTTGTGGCGAGCGTTTGTTCGAATTGCATTGGTGACCCGTTGTAATGGAAGACCATTTAGTTTAGGACTGCCGAACGAATATAGTCCACACCCGAAGTCGCGATCGGAACGGTTTTCTACAGAAGAAAACTATATATGTACCCACATTACGTAAGGGACCGCGATTTCGGTAAAAATAAAACCAGCCGCTCGCTTTTCGTTTAGTCCTATGAACGTGATTAGGTACACACAAAGAGGGGCCGAGTCGCTCGTGATATCAGATTATCAATTTAATAGAATAAGAAATATCTGTATAGGTAATTAGCTGCGAACTGAGCATAAACTATGAGCCCACCCCTAAAACTGACGTACGTCCTACCCATTTGGAATTTTTGAAAATTTTTTTTACCAATATTTAGTAAGTAATTTGTGAGAATTTGTATGACAAATTTCAAAATTTGTACGGTCTTGGTTTTCCCGTTATCAAACAAAAATAATGGGTGGGGCTGAGGTGATGTGATTTCGGTCCCACCCAAGGTTAAAAATTATTAATCATAGTTGTAACTACACCATAATTTAGTATGTATTTTTTATGAATTTGTACGACTCTTCTCAAACTTTGAAGTTTGTCATACAATTGTATACAAATTACGTACTAAATATTGGTAAAGAAAATTTACAAATGGGCTATCTACTTTCTAAAATTGTCTCTTCGGGTCTCAGCTTGTGGTGGCGTCCTCGATGGTGTACGCCGTACAAGTACTGTACGGCTAGGTCAAGTGACAGTGTTATAATATTATAAACTACGGACGGGTCCTATGCCTTCCCACGAAAATCCCCAAATATAGTGGCGATAACAACGATGATATTATAATATTATTACTATCATTATTATTACGATCTGCCTGCCTGCTGTACGGTCCTCGCCGAGTGTTTTCGTGTCGGGCAAATGACCGTGAATTGCGTCTGACAGCTCTCCCAAAACTCGTCACAATCTCATTAGGACCGACACACAATATTATAATATACGTCTGCGGCACGTCGATTTGTGCATCGTGCGTGTGTGTTTTTTCTTTTGTCGTCGTCATTGAAAATTACACGGGTACGATTGCTAATTTCCCGGCAGAATAGGTACCTGTAATTTCACGTTTTCCGACCGTTTTATCGGCGACCAAACTACGACGACGACGACGACCCGCGGGGCCTCTAATGTGTAACTCGATACTATTAGTGACCGTACGGAATTATATATTATTATTATTATTGTTGTACACACAAAAACCCCCGTCGGATTCCTCGCGGTCAAGTATGCCGCCGCAGTGGGAACAAAACGCTGTAATATTGTAATCAACGTCGGTTTTTTATTTTTTTATTCCGTTCGCGTGCTGTGTTTTCGTCTCCCACCGAAGTCTTTTTGTTTTTTTTTTCATTCGGTTTTCTGTTTTTTTTTGATTTGTTGATTCACTGTGTATAGTTAATAGACCTAAATTATTTGAATCATAATTGATTAAATTATTGAAAATTCAAACTGATTGAAATGGTCGGACGCAAAGGAGCTGTTCCACCTTCGGATATAATTGATGCAGTTCTAACATTCAAAGAACGAGTGGTTTTGAAGAACGAGAAAAATGAAATGTGTAAGTGTTTTTTGTTTTTTAGCATATCAAGTACCTACTGTATTTAACTTATTTAATTCTATAGTGAGGTTTAAGGTGCTGACATAAAGACATAAATTGTTGTATATTTTATATTGTATTTTAAATATCAAAGCTTTCCTTACCAGTAATCGATGAGGTTCTTCTGGGTTCTTAATCTTACCATTACCATTAATTTTCTCTGCTTCTGGGAAGGTTTGCCTGTTATACTCAAAATTGCAATTTGGTGTTATTTTATTGCATATATTATGTTATATACTAGGTAATGTTATTCAATGTTAAAAACAAATTTCATATCAGCAGGCAGTCAATGTTATAAAATTGACAAAATGTTAAAATAGGTACCAGTTAACTGTATTATAATAAATTATCCAGCTAATGGCCATAGTTGCCATTCTTAAGAGGACGCTACACCCGCATGTGTTGTCTCCGTCTTACACACGTACGACATAGACAAAACGCGTTTAGGCAGTCTGAGTATAACTTGCTCAATTTTGGTTCTAGAGTAAAAATGCCTATTATGAAATTGAATTGTGATAATATTTCTAAGGGCAAGACGCTGCGGTTTTTCCATTATACCCAATATAACGTTCATTATATCGTTTAGAAATAGAAAAAATTTCACCATTTTTAAAATACCTTTGACTTTTAAAAAATTAAATTTTTTAAAAAAACCGCAGCGTCTTGCCCTTAGAAATATTATCACAATTCAATTTCATAATAGGTATTTTTACTCTAGAACCAAAATTGAGCGAGTTATACTCAGACTGCCTAAACGCGTTTTGTCTATGTCGTACGTGTGTAAGACGGAGACAACACATGCGAGTGTAGCGTCCTCTTAAGATCAATAAAAAATAAATAAATAAATAATCTATTATATACTTAATACATTTTTATAATATAAACATTATTAGGTAAATGTATCATACTATTCAGTAGGTATTAATACAGAACTAATGATTATTTAACACTGATCAATATTAAACAGTCAATTATTGCATTACACTCCTTTTACTTTTTTTGAATCATAATAAATCAATAAACATTAATTACATGACAATTTGTGCATTCAATTTTTTTACAATTTATTAAATTACTTTTGAATACTATTTTGTTATAATTTATTGAAATTATTTATAGATATAGTTGCAGCTACAAATCAAGTATGGACAGATATAAGGCTTTATATTGGTGACCGCATGTCCTCGAATGCTATTCATACTTTTGTTCAAAAGGGACGTCATGGTATAATGGAAAAGCTAGGTTTTCCTTTAAAATTTAAGCAGTCCTGTGAAATTGTACATACACCAATCTTACCAGATGATGGTAAGTAAATTATGTTTATAATATTTAAAATTTGTGAGTGAATAGATCATAATACTATGTAATTTATATGTTTATTTTATTTTATTTTATTAATACCATTAAAACTAATGTTAAAATGGTTACAAATGTTTTTAGAAGAATCGCCTGATGACTACAGTTCTAATGATGAAGATGATGCACTCCCATGTAAAAAATTTGTATTTACATTTTCATCTGAAGAATGGGATCAGATACAACCTCAAGAAAAAGTGTTTAAGCTAACAGATAAATCTCGTCCGATGCAAAGTACCAGATCGTATTATGTTTTGCCTAAAGGTACATGGACACCAATACTTGCTGAACACTTTTGGGCACACTTTCAACTGCCTTGTTGTTTATCTTTCCGAAGAGGTAAAGTTTATCCCAGTGGATCTGTATACATACATGTCGTGGGACGTTGCTCTGTTTGCGACTCCAGATTTAATGGGACAGTTTTTGATAAACCCCCTGGTGGTGCTAAGTAAGTATATTATTGTGATAACTTAATGTTTCAATAAAAGTAAATTGCCTAATATGTAATTATCAAAGAGTATGAATTTTTTAAAAATATATTCCTCAAATTAAATTTTTCAAATAGATAATAATTTATATTTTGTTTCCATCAATAATATTAAGTACATAGGTGCACATTATCTTTGTAAGCTGAAAATGATTATGATATATTACATCAGTAATTTTTTACATTTAAATTGTATAATCTACCAATTTGCATAAGTACTTGTTAAAAATATTTAAGTAGGTACTTCAATATTCAAATTAAAATATTTGATTATTTATTTAAAAATATTTAGTAATTTCATACTTAATGATTTAAATTTGTTATAGAGTTCTTATGCATTGTACATTCAAAGGTAATTTTCAAGAGGCACACAAAACAACAAAAAAATGTCGTATGATAGGACCAGCAATGGAAAAAGCAATTTCATCGATTTGTGTCGATGGACTATCAAGTGAAACGTATCGAGAAAGAGAAGCAGTACGTCTGATAAAAACAGGTATGTTAATTCCCATTTATTGAATAGGCAACTTTCAAACTTCTACCCTAGTATAATTTCATTAAAAAATCAACACATATTACCTTATGAAAATAGTTAAATGTATCATGTGACATGTGTATCATATCACTCATTTTCTGTAATTTTTTAGGTGCACCTGATCCGTCCATTATTCCATCAGGTAATTCATTACGCATTTTAAAATCACGAGTGACAGCAGGCAGTCGTAGACATGAAGATACCTTAACGTCATTAGCTTTGATGAAACAAGAAGATGACTTTAAGAACATAATTCATGATATTGGATGTGATCCTTTTTACTTACATTACCATTGTGCTGATCAAATCCAAATCTACAGGAACTACTGTAAAGGATCAAGACCCAGACTGATCATTGATGCTACAGGTTCGGTTGTGAAGAAATTCTTAAAATTGAGCAAGCAAAAAACAAGCTCAATCTTTCTGTATGAAGGATTGGTCTATGATTCACAAAATAAATGTAGTTTTAAAGTTACCAATATGTTGAGTGAGCGGCATAACAGTTTGGCTATTTCTAATTGGTTATCCAGTTGGATCAATTGTAATGTTCCAAGGCCCAAAGAAGCTGTATGTGATCAATCCATGGCATTGCTTTCTGCCATTGCAAAAAGTTTTACACAATATACGACGCTACAGGACTACATCATAATTTGTGCTGATCTTTTGACTAAAAGAATAGAAGGAAATTCACACTTAGTACCACATTGTTTTATAAGGATTGATGTTGCTCATTTTGTAAAAACATGCAGTAACTGGATACCACTAAAAACTGTTCCTCGAAGGGTCAAAGAAGTTATTCTTCGCTCTATTGGTGTTTTAATTAAAAGTCAGTCACTAATTGAAATTAAATCAATGTTACTATCATTATTTGTTATAATTACTAATGAAACAGCTGGAAACAATAAACGTACACACGAACAGACACCATGTGAAAAACACAAAGAAATTATTATAAAAGCTACATCAACGGGATTTGTAGATTTTGAGCAACAATTTGAAGACATAATTTATAACGCAAGATCTGAAGATGAAGCTAAAATGTGTATCGAAGAAGAGTATGAACGTTCTAATGAAGAGTTTTGACAAACTTCATAATCCATTTGAGGAATGGGCAAAACAAACTTTTGAAAATAGTAAATCATTAATACAGGACGGTACTGAACTTAATCCTCTATATATTCCATCACTAGTCCCTATATTAATTAAATGCATGAAGCTTCTCCCCCTATGGTCAGGTGTTATGATACCAATCTTCAACTATGGAGAACAAATATGTAGTTCAGCTGCAGTTGAATCCAGCTTCAAAAAATTAAAAACGGTCACTATGAAAAATGTTGTTTTACCCACTAATATTGAAATATTTTTAGAAAATCATGTTATGTCTTTAAAAGGAGCATCACTTATCCGAATAGCCAAAAATCAATCTAATATGTCACCATATTCTTCTACTGAAGAAGTTGAAGATCGATATAACACTGATTTGAATCATTCATTTTCATTTAATTTGTTAGAAACTCACGATGTTAATGATCAACAAGATTTAGGTGATAATTGTCTCTCAAGAAATGTGTCACCATCTTTTGTTTTGGAAAAATTCAACGATTATGATGAAAATGAAGCGTTGATTGTAGTTGATACAGTCAATGAACAAACACATTTTAACAAAAAAATTACTTTAATTGATGAGTTGTGTTGTAAAAGTTCAAATGAGTTTAATGAAAATAACCCAATGTCAGTAGATGAGGATATAGAAAACAATAGACAAACGAGTTTTACTGAAGAAAATGCCGCACTTGAGGAATAGAATCGTAAAAGCCTTAAACAAAGAAAAAGTTGTTCTTATTTAGTTCCAAACCCGCATTTAAGATATTTGAATTTGAAGAATAGCAATAAAATTCAATCGTTGCCTATTTTAAAAAATGGGTCAAGATTTCAAGACCTAAAGAGTTCTAAAACTATTAACAAAACCGACAGAGTTGTTTTAAGTAACACCTGTGCATTTGATGCATTATCATCTATACTCATGGTAAGTAACAATAACTGTTGGTATAATTTTATATATTTATGAAAATTGGTTAAAATATTTTATTTTTTTTTAATACACATAATCCACTGTTTTCTACATTTTAGAAATGTATTTTAGTAATTTAGTGGGTATCAATTTTGATGCACAGTTTTATAATAATATTAAACTTTAAAAATCTATATTATTTTGTTAACTGCCATTTCAAATTATAATATTTTCAGATATCATATTGTGATAGTCAAATGTATTCAGAGTTCATGGATTCATTCAATGATGATAAGTACTTCAATTTCATATCAAGTTTAGTGAAAAATGGAATTACATCCTCAACTTACACTAAAAGAACAGAAGTTATAATGCTTTATTTAAAACCAGAATTACAACTGTTGCAATATAACATCGCATTAGCTAAATGTGATGCTACCATGGGTCATGTTATGAAAGCTTTGCTAAAAGATTACCCAACAATTGAAGAATTTTCAAAATGTTCTTCCAACATTTGCATAAAAACATCCAAGTGGCAAGTTATGTATTTAACGTATCAGACGGGAAAAAACGGAAACTTAAGTGGCTTACAGCAATTCATCAAAGAACGCACTGGTGTGGAGTATTTGGAATGTAGTGAGAATTGTGATGGTATGAAAGCTGTACATTCAAAAATATCAACCCACCATTTATTTATTGATGTTTTGCAATGGGAAGGTAAATATATTTTTAGTTCTATAAGTAAAAAATAGTTTTTATCAACAGCTAAAAATCTAAGCATATTCATATTTTTTGTAGGTAATGATCTAACTTCATCCATGTGTAGTACTGAAGCAGCTAGCATGGTTCAAGTAAAGCTGAGTGATATTCCACAGATACTTGTGTATGAAAGCATCACATTTGAGCTTCGTGGTGCTATACATTTCTATAAAGGAAAAAATGGATTGAGAAATTCGATAGGCCATTATACAGCTTATGCTAAAAGAGGTACGCATAACTGGGAATTGTACGATGATCTCAAAAAAAGGCCAATTCCAGTAAAGGAAAACAGTTTAATATTATGTGAATTTTTAATTTACACGATTTAAATTAAAATATTTTTAAAACAATGAACATGTATATTATAAATATTTAAATTTTAATATGTAAACATTTTGTTACTTAAAGTATGTGAATTTTATTTAAATTCAACTTAATTATATACAATACAGTATATTAAATAGTTGTTAATAGTTACTATTTAATATTAAAAGTAAAAACTGTTTGGAAATTGAAAATTATTTATTTTTTTAAATTTTTTTGATTCAAAACCATTTAGTAGTTGGTTTTTTCTAGTTGAATAATGTTTAAAATTCATAACAAAGATTTTGACGTTAGTGTACTATGGAAGAAGTGTTGAGAATTCTTCCCATCAATCATTACATTAATTAGACAATAACATTATAAAATCAGTTCAAAAAATGTAGTTCAAATCTTTTGTCAAGTGTGGAAAAGTATTCATGAATACAATAAATAAAAAAACGAGACGTTGAGTTAACGAAGATGTGCTTAAAGTCTTTAAATATAAAATTCTTTGTCCGTTACAACATAGATTTATTATTGTAGGTATATAATAATACTGATGTACTGTATTTTTATTATTATTATTCAATAAATATTGCATTGTATTATTGTACATATTGCTTTGTCTTTAGTAGCCAAACAAACCTTTATTCATAATATATTATAGCTCAAGTCGACGACGGTTCTTACAGAGACGTTGATTGACGACGTCCGAATACTAATACAGATAGTATACCTACTACAATACTTTTTATAATATATTATAAGAGGTAATTAAATAGCTACTCAGTTACACCATGAGTAGCTTATATGCTATACCTTATATTATGCTGTAATATGTAATGTAATAATATAGTATAGGTACTATATAGGTACACAACTGTTCATCGACAA